CTTATATATATATATATATATATATATATATTAATATATATATATATACGTATATATACATATATATGTATTTATATATATATATATATACACATATATATATATTTATATATATATACATATATACACATATATATATATATATATTTATATATATATACATATATACACACATTGTTACGTTAAATGCACTAAATACATATTGTATAAATGATTTTAAGGAACTCCTAAAGTTACCTTAGCTATAGTCCACAGGATTATCATCGGAAGTCACGTGATCAAAATTATTCTACGTTATATAAATGGAACATTTTTTCGTGTCGATTTGATGTACCAGGCTCATTTTAGTTGACAGTCCGCGTGTGACATCGAATCCAACTTATTTGTCACCAAGGTCTTGTGTGTCATCACAATTTTGTCCCCATGCAATGCAACTTGTCATACAACATTATGCGAGACTCGATAAGTAAACGTTCACTCCGTCGCTATGTGTTCGTCTTGTAGGATACGTTCTATTGGAATCTGTTGAATCCTGAAAATTGAGGCAAGTAGGCCTACATCGTGGATTTTTACACGTCAACAGTCATCATTGGCAATCTTAAGGTAAGCTGGTGACATTTAGTAACGCTTTCTTTTTATTATCATTAGTTTCCTTAAAACCTTGTTTGCAGATTTTACAAAGATGAATTTGAAATGATAGCGATTTTAACATCAGTAGGTTTATGCCTATTTTCGTTATGTTTAATATGTCCTCTGATTAATTGAGTAACATATTTTTACCGATGTTAGCTTATGTTCCATGTATGCCTACATTTGGTTCACATTTAGGTTTCAAAACAACATTTGGCGTTTATTTAGAAACGGAACGCGGTTAACAGGGTGTATTTGAACTAAAATTCCTAAATATCCTAGTGATGAGAGCATGCCAGTCTATATAGGTCTACATAAATACGGCACTAATATGTAACTCATGTATATATTACTGAACAATTTTCTTTATTTTGTTACTCAGTTCTGAAATGCGTACTAATTTAATAATTAGACTATACAGACTATTAGAGTTGGTACAATAGAACAGAACGGAAAGGACCGTCCTAGTGTAAACATTGTACAGGCATGAGCGTAATAAAAATAAGATAATCCTAATCATTCAATCAACCAATCAATAAAAGTAATTTATATAGCGTCGGTGTCCATAATTAAATTAACCTCAAAAACGATTGGACAATATGTACACATAAATGCCATTGAATATACAAGTAGCGCCTAAGTTTGTTTTTATTGATCACATTGGTAAAGTTACACTGTTTAGGATAAAAATTCCATTTCTAGGAACATGGTGGACGGGGGGTGTTAGGGGCGTGAAGGTGAAGGTCCAAGGTGAAGTGGGGCTCTATGGTTAGGTGAGCGTGATTTTTTTTTTATTGTGATTTATTATATAAAGTAATGCATCTTCATAATGTTGGACTCTGGGTACCTTACTCAAACTCATACACCTAGGCGGATTATTCACACTCATACGGAGCTAATAAGCCTAGTTACCCTTAAGTCTATCCTACTCTAAGTCCGCTCGTTTCATAGACTCACTACTCTTATTCATACTTATAATACTTATACTTTAATACCGATTCATCGTATACTGTCTATATCCATGACAACTGGTACTACTTCACACCGTACTCATCGATAAATATAGGAAATAGCAATAATAACAATACGGTAATTAGCATAATATATGGGTAGGCCAAATTAAATATAAAAATAGCTAATAAAATTTTTAAAAAAATAAAAAATATATATATGATATTTTTCAACTGTTACATCATTGGAACATATAACACTCTGAAGTGTTACAGTGCTTTTAAGCGGATATTTAGCCATGTTGGCTCGTGTAGCCTCGGTATATCACAAGAGAATATGAGGGAGCAAAAGTGACTGACGAGATGAACAGAAAGAAAAAAGTAGGCCTACTAAGAATACAAAGATGAGGGTATGCGTTCGTTTGGGTGTAGATACAGAGATACAGAGGTAGAGATATATAAAACGAAAGTCCATAAGTTCAACAAAATTGATAAAATGTTATTTTACAGACACTTTGTAGGTCGAGGCGTTTAAGAGCATACTTAGCATTGTCGTAGGCCTATTTGTTAGCACTGTCATAAATCTATTTGTTAGCGTTATCCAGGAAACTTTCGAAGTTTTACTGGGTAATCACTACACGACACACATGGTAAAGTACCAAATTATTCCCCGTAGACCCTGAACCGGAGCACTGCACCGACTTGTGTATTTTCAAATCGTATGATTCATATCCATATTCGTTTATGTACCTTACGATTCTCCTCTCATGAGCCTACTTGGTATTGAAAATAAGCCTCGGTTCACACTAACGCGTATCAATCACTAACGCGCGCACGACGCGACTGGTCCACACTTACCAATTGTTTCATACGCCTTGTGACCAAAATACAGCTTTCCTGAGTGTCAAACAAAGTTAACAATTGAACAGTCAGAACGGGGCCAGGATTACCTGCTTGTCCCACACACACATGTTGCCCTACAACAAACGCACGCGTTTAAATACGCGACGTTTACGCTACCGTTTTGTGGTACCATGGTGGTACTAAGCAACATTATCCAAGGGGCGGGGCACGGGGTGGGACGCGGGCCGGGCGCAGGACTTAGTGGGAAAGGTCCAGGTGTGCATAAAAGTTTTTTGTATACGCGTCTAATTGGAAATCGTAGCTCACGCATAATGGTTACCTACATATTACTCAAATGAACACCAAGCTTAAGAATATTTGTATCATGTCTTTGAGAACGAGCAACATCTTGTCGACCATGTAATTTCCGATGAAAAGGATGAAATAAAGTTTATCTGTATCTGTAGCTCAATATTGGTAATAGGCCTAACAAACAAATAAACCAAATACATGTAACACTTTGTTATTTAGGCGTTACATGGGCTGAAGATCACAAGGGAGGAACTTATCTCTTAAAGTGATTACGAGTAAATACTTCTCAGGAAGTGTGTTGAATATATAATTAACAATATAAATTACAAGTTGTTTAATATTTACTTTTAAAGGATAAAATTATCGATGATAATAGAAAGTTTCGATTACATCCTGGACAAAGTACTATGTTTAATTTTTTAATTAAACGTTCAACTTAAAAGTTGTTTGGTTGATGACCTCTTCGCCCAGTAAGTCACATGCATCGGACTTTCGTTTAAATCTCAACATGAGTTGATAATGCTAAAACTTCCAATCCTACGTGCTTACGTCATAGTCATGCGTATGTTACGCACTCTATCTCGGCCAATGAAATTACAGGGCGGCGAACACAGCATGTTTATAGTTTACCCTGTAAAAGGGATGAATTATTATTAATTTGATTAATATTATCATAATAATTATTATCATCATCATCATCATTTTCATTATCATTATCATTTACACACATTGACTGGTTTGCTGTATTGAAATATTTAATTTGAGGTGAATTGAAGAATTATAAGAAAACATTCCGTAAAGCGTTTGCAATATCAATTGAAAATATGTGAATATCAACTCTCTGAATTTTAAATATTACCTTAAGGGGCCCAAGCATCCCTAGATACCCCAGACGGTAATCGATTGAATTTGTAATATTACGTCTGAGCCTTCAGCTTCCTATATTTCTTAATAAATATTGCCGGGGAATATTTCAATCATATAGCTATATGTTATGAATTTTATTATCGTTACATATAATGTTTATTGATAATTGCATGGAAGGTGGGCAAGTCACGCAGTCGTATACAGAAAAATTATTGAATATCTATCATCCAAATGCATTAGCGTATTTTCCAGGATTAAAAATTAAAGTCTGTATCTGGTTGTATAGCTGGTGAAATATATATTTCACTTTTCTTAATGATTTAATCCGTATTTGATGATTATCATATAATTAGTATTTAATTATTAACTAGGCCGTGTTTTTCTTTTGACTTTGGAACTCCCCGAGACAAAATCAAATGAATTAATACACGTTGAACTGTATTCGTAAATATTATGTCTGTGAACACGCACAACTAATTACGTTAATGTATGATACATTCTTGTTAGACCTGTGGAATGTGATATACATCGTATTAAACAATTTCTACTGAGGTAGATACAACCGTTTTTTTTTTTTTATTTTATCCTGTCACGCTCCCTATACATAC